ATTTATCCATTTGAAACTAACTTGAAACTAATCAATAATGCATATATGTTAACTATAATTTCTATTAGGTTAGAATGGTTCTTTGGAGATTCAGTATAACTTACGATAGAAACGGTTGTCCAAGGTTTCATGATTCAATAGCTTTTTTCAAAATCGTTTTGATTTAGTGATGAAAATGATTAACAAGGGTCAAATTACAATATGTATAACTGTTACGCAGTTAAGACACTTGTCAAGTTGAGATTTCAAATGTATGTTACATGACTCCTTTAACCAATATAAAGTATATGTATTTGTAATTACTGTTTATGATGTTATAAGCTTGTGTACTATGGTAAACGTATTGTTCACTGTAAATTAGATTTTGTGTACTAAGTGCTTTTTCTCAGTAAAATACTAGAAATTTAATCGTCCGGACCCCTTGTTTATTTTTCAGAAAACGGATGTTATCACAACAGTGACATTGAAACAGTTAGAAAAAACAAATATTTTGAAACTTTTGAATAAGAAATACCATTCAGTTGAAAAATTACTTAGAAATTCAGTTCATCGAGAGATAAACAATCGGAATTTTATGAATAGAATTTTTCAAGTTGGCATTTATCTGATAATATTTCGTAGATGTGTACTACAGATTAATCTTACATGGGAACAAAATAACTATTCATTATTAAATCTTTTTTTAATATATAGATAGATATAGATGAAGTGGTTTTTAGAGGTTATCTTGTTATGGAAGCGAAATTCGTCACTGATCAATCTCGGGGATTAAAGGACAGCTGCCCCATCCTTGTACTGGGTTTCCCAGGGCCTTCAGGTTTATCAGGGAGTGATTAACATTTACAAACACTAAGTTTACACCTAATAATTTATACTTCTGACCTCAATCAATTCGAGTTATAAAGGTATCTTCATCCATTTCCACTAATGACGGCTTTTCTACTCACGAATTGTTTAAATTTCATCGATCATGATCTTTAATTAAATCTTTAAGAATCTATTTCAAAGTAAGTCGTTAGAGGGCTGAAGATTTTAGTTTAGACAAACTACTTTTGTGGAAATTAGTTTGATATGTAAGTGATTTATGTCACATATTGATCACATTTTGAATGCTTTTGGGAATTGGAAGCATTAAACAACTATTTCATCAGATATTATTAGTTCCTGATTAAACAGTTAATAAAATCTATCATTCTTTATATTATTATTATGAGTGGTAGTAGTGGTATTGGTATTAGTAGTAGTAGTAGTGGTAGCATATCAGAGTTTTGCATCATAATATGATTTTCAATCAATAAAGTCATAACATTACTTCAATCGCAAATGGGAAAAGCATGATTCTAGGTATTCGATATAAGAAATTGATTTAATTGGTCAAACTGTATTTATCTAAATGATATATAAATTAATCCACCAACTATTCAATGTCTATGCTGAGCAACCTAAATACTTTGTTCATTTCCTTTCTTTGAAAATATTAAGAAATAATTAAAAAAACGGTATCGTCGGGAATATTAAAATGCATCTTCATAAATAACCTATATCGAAACATGGTTTAACTTTTTTAACTATCCTGTATATCCTGGTTTTTAGTAGTTTTCTAATTAAGATCATAGGAACCTAACATACAGTAAATGTTTATTGTTTCCATTAAGTTTCCGCTTTGTATTTGTATTTTTAAAATAAGCTATTATCCAATTAACACGTGATGAGACTAGATATAGTTTCATTTGTATTTGTTTATTTCGCTTTTAAGCAATATATATATTCATACAGATAGACAGTTTACCAGTATATCCATAGTGCCCCGGTATACTGGATGTTAGCTATCCATAAAAGAATATCTAATTCATATATTGAAATTTCTTAACTAAGATCAAATAGTTAATATCATATCATGTATTAGTAATCTATTTTTCAAGACTTCAAGTTTATAAAGTAAGACATACCAAAATCCACTGTTAATAAGAATGACAATTTATGATACATTCTTGTTTAGTAAATCCTGAGTAGAATAAATTTTATATTTGTAGATCTTTCACCAACTAGTAACTAATAATAGCTTCACAGTAAAATATATTTTTAAATAAAATTCTTTCACTTATACACTGGTTGATTGTTAGTCAGTAATGTTATTTGGTGGATGTCAAGAAGCCTCAAACTGTTTTGCGTTAGTTTACACTAATCATCAATGAATAACTTTAAACTTGGAGGGAAAACATATGATCCTTGTTTCACCCACTATCACAGTCAAAGACATAGTTTTTGAGATATTTGGATTGTCCCCTGTAGAACTGAATTATTTAAACATTAATTGATCATTTACTAAATTTAATTGTTAGTAGAATTCTATCAATTAAGTTATAATGGTGCTATTTGACTAAGTTAATCAAAATTACAGTGTATACTGACTTATCTTAAAAATGATTGATTCTATAAGTGTACCATTTAGTATTTTATTGTGTTATTTCCTTCTGATGTTTTTCTAAAAGGAATAAATTCAATGTTTCTAAATAAGTAATACCAAATAGAAACCATGATTAGTAAATGAAAGACTACTTATATGTGGAAAAATATGAGAATAACTCATTCATTAATGCATCTTTCTAAATAAATATGGTTTAACTAAAGCAGAAAAATATACTTTAATTATCTTCCTTTGGTAGTAATTCGTCAACAAGTTATTTAGGTAAGCTAGATAACTGATCATTATTTTTACCTCTTATCAATACCATTGAAAAAACTTTAGAATATCAGACAGCTGTTCCACGCTTGAACGGAACTCCCTAGTAATATGAAGGAACAACTTCGAACCCTGGATTTCAGGGCCTCGGAGTGTAATGCAATTAAATACTGTAGACTTCAAATGTTAGTTTGTCAGAGTGAGCATTTAAATACATATTTATGTCAGTTTATTGATTGTGTTATCAACTTAGTTCCTATCTATTTATGAATGTATACATATTCATTTAATTTCGAACACAATAAATGAAATCTTTGTCACTTGAGGCTTAATAATGTCAAGTTTCGATGAATATATTTTGCTGCTATCTCAGCTTAAAAAATGAATTTGATTTTTTTAATCAAATATTTTGCTAAAATATATATAATCCGCACATATACACACACATACACTTTTCTAAGCACACATCATGACATTTATAAATAAATAACATGGTTACTTGGCTTTTCTTAAATTCGTATTTCATGCAACTTATGTTATTTGTGCACATACAGATATATATTACAAAACACATAACTTACAAGCTTCTAATGATCTTTTGACCTCACTTCCTTTTGATTAGAATTATGACTATCAAGATTGATGTCACAAAGTAGAAATAATGATGAATGTATGTGTGATAATGCTTGATTCCCCTAATCAGATAAGGATTGGTTACATGACTAATAACTTCTATTTATGTAAATCCATATGTATGCAAATTTACACTTGCCTAATCATCTTTTGTCTAAGTGTATGTATGTGTGTTTGGATATACATTTATTTTCTTTGAAAGAATTGATATTCAATTCAAGAAAGCGTTTTATAATTTATTTTCCTTCTTTCTATGGCTTAAATGATCAATACACGATTTGATGTATCAAAAACTTTATTTATTTGTTCCCATTTGGGTAATTCACATGCAACTTTGATTCGTAAATATGCGCGAATCTATTAATTTTTTAAAGCACTGAAGAATTTTAATCAACGAAAAACAGTAACAGAATGTTTATACTGTCTTACACATAGGATGTAGGAATACCAAGAGTTAATTAATAAACAGTCTAACCTAAAATATTTTGTAGTAAAGTTTTAAACTTATTTACCTTTTATTTCAAAGTGAAAAATATGATAGTGAGGCGCTTTAAAACGGTCAAAAATCTTTTAAAAACAGCATTGCACTGGAAGGATTAATTTGATCTAGTATTACTTCTCACCAACGAACTTAAGTTGATGATTTCGAACCTCAAATTGGCAGTTTTCTGTTAGGCAGTAATCATTTGATAGATATCACGTCAATTGGGACTCCCTAAGTAAGACGTCGCTGGAATCCTGAAGAGACTGATAGTTTCAGTCGAGTTCCGTGCTATCAAACGTTAAAATTAAAGATTTCACCAAAGACCTTGTGAAGAACTCAGATGTTTAGATTGAATTGTTTTAAGTACTGTTCCTTAGTGTTGGTCATCCTCTGTCAATCACACCACACCACAGATTCTAGTCTAAGTTATATATGCAAATCAGCTTCCATCTGAAGAAGGAATCAGGAAAAGACGATAAAAGTGGTTAGGACATCCATTACAGAAATCATCAAACTGAATCACGAAGCAAGCATCAACTCGGAATCCTGAAGGAAAACGGAAAAGTGGAAGGCCGAAGAACACAGTGAGTCGAGAATTGGAAGCAAACATCCAAAAATTGAATAGGAACTGAAAGGAACTTGGAAAGTTTGTCCAGGAATGCTGGTGGATGACCTATGCTCCTTTATGAGGAGTAACAGGTGTAAGTAAGTGAGTAAGTGTAAAGTTCAACCAGGGTATTTAGAGACTGTCTGATCTATATATGATGACTTAAGAAGTTCTGAATTTGTCTACTCCCAACTTGAATGTTAGAAGCTGATAAAAATTATGTGTAATTTGAAAATTTTGATTAAATTATCTGCTTCATTTTAATATCATACACCACACTCCTTGTATAAAGACGACATAATTTGTTAAGTTCTCTGTAAAAGTAGTTTTAAGTTATTTTTCACAACTATTTTTGAGTGCTATAAAGAGAAAACATCATTCATGACATTGCCATTTTCCAAAATCTAAACATCTGATCAATAGTGTGACTGATTCTAGGTCTAGAATCCTAGTTATTTTGGTTGTATTTATGAATATATCCTATATGATGTATCAAAGAGATAAATATGTAATTTGCTTTTTTTTACCTTGACATTCGGTAAAAAAACTCTTATCTACCTTTCCTTTCTTTTCCAACAAAATTAATTCATTAGGACAATACAATTTCTGAAATTATAACGAAAACATTTTCATTAGTTTTAACTATAAAATTATGAACAGTGAAATTTATGGTGGCGAAACACTGTTAGGATTGTTTAGTCCACCAACAGCTGGTCAGTTATTACCAAATTTATTATTATCACCAAACGAATCATCCAACTCATCAATTGATGTTCATAAATTGGCTATGTCATTAAATTCCAATTCTACACAGGGAATTTCTAATATGAACAAAATTAATAATAACATTTTGCAACCTTTACAACAACAACAAACACAAAGACAAAATCCTTATGAATATCAAGAATATTTTTCACTAAGAAATTCGTTAATAGGTTCATCAGTTACATCAAGTACAACTGCAGCACCTGGAACAGTGACACCACCAACAACAATGATAATAAATGGTATGCCTCAAGTATCGAATTCACTGGAACATTATTCACGATTTCTTAATTCTCGTGTCAATTCTACTAATGTTAATATCAGTGATGGTGGCAGTAATTGTCCTTATAATAATGATACAGATGAAAATGGATTAGATATGAAACAAAATATTGAAAAGATTAAAAGGTTAGTTTGACTGTTACCTATATATATATATCCCTACATATTGCCTAAAAACAATTCCCTAATCATAATGTGGTAATTAAACGAAAATTGTAAAAGGAATTAAGGTTAATCACTTGTACTTAATGGTTACGGGATATACATTGCGTTTCATATAATTCACTTGTCTGATATTCTCAAAATAATAGCTATCACCATCACTTTAGTTAATTTTACCAGTTGTTTAATTTAGTTAATTAATAGTGAAGTTCAACTGATGAAAAATACACATTTGAAAACAAACCTAAAATTTAATATTAACGGTAAATCAGTTTACTATTGTAACAATATGATTGTAAATAGACGTTAGACATGTTCATAGTTTTTTTCTTAGGGGGTGAGGAGCTATTTATAAACATTTAAGTTGATTTCTCATCTAAAACTTAGTTGACAAGCTGTTAAAACAAACCAAAACAAAAACTACACAGAAAATATTAAATAAGTGGTTTATCCTACTTTAAGATTCTACATTTTTGTGTAACCAAGCTTGGTTAAATGTGAACTTAAGGCTTTTATTATTTCACTGAAAGCATTATGCTTTCAGACTACTAAGTGACGATCCAAAATTTCGTATTATCAACCTCAGTTCATATGTAATACTGTACAAACTTCATTTCAAACAATCTTCATAAATCTCTAATAATATTTATATTCATTTCTGTCAAAATTTCATGTCACAGTAATTATTGTATTGTCTCATGGATTCTTATGTTATAAATCATAAGAAAATATTTATTTTAAACGTTAACATAAAAGAATCATACCATACACTAATGAATAGATTCATGTAGGTAAATTTTCTGAATTTTCAAGTATAAACTCTTGATTTACAGACTAAAAGACAAATTTAAACGAATGAATGAACATAACACACAACTTGAAAACTATGTTATGAATCCAATGGATTATTTAAGAAAAGTAATATAAATGTGTTTACGATAAAATTTGAGGATTATTGTTATTGACAGATAATTCCCATTTCAACATTGAAAACACAAAGTTCAGCTAAGAGATCTCTTTACAACGAATTTATTATCAAGCTGTATAATCGCACATTTCCTTAAGGAACTAGTACTTTAACAAAAATAGTTTCATATACATATATACGATTGTACAGCTAGATTATTGTTATCTCATTAAATTAGTACAGATGTCTTTCTTTCTAATACTAAATTTTATAATGTATTTCAATTGAATTCTAAATTAATAATCCATTCATTTTATTTGTTTTACAGTCATCCATTATTCCCCTTACTTGCTTTAATATTTGAAAAATGTGAATTAGCCACATGTATACCAAGAGATGAGAATTCCAATAGTTCAGTTGATGTTTGTTCATCTGATTCATTTCAAGAAGATATAAGTATGTTCACGAAAGAAGTAAGCTGAAATTATTACCTTATATATATGTTTTTTAATGGTTCTTATAGCTAATCAAAACGGGACAAAATATCACGAATTAATCGTTTTCTTATCATCCTCATATTATTTAAACATAACTTTGATAAGGCAGCTATCAAATCAAAGAATCTTCATAAGAAGTTTTTTACACTTCGGTTCTTATTTACACTTCAGTCATCATATCAGTACCATAATAACGTTTTAAAAACCGAGTTATAGTAGTACACACCTAACATAGAGTAAAATATTGGTAGTCTTTTACTTCTTATGTTTCAGAACTAGAAATACAATTTATAGAATCTTAATTGACGTAGAAAACATGAACATTACAATCGATTAATCACTGGGTACTGAATAATATCATGTTTACCCAGATCTTTAGTACTGATTAAATTCTGTCGACCAATATCTCAGTTTAACAAAACGTCAGTAGCAGCCCAAATTGCTAATTAGTAACGCCTCGAACTCTGGAGCTAAGTAATGCGGGTTCGGATCCCACATAGGGTATGAGTCACTTTAAAGTCACAAGTACTCCATGTTCACGAATGGCAAGTACCAAGAAACCTAGGTCGAACAGAGTTTTCTGCTAACTACCTTTAACCACTCAATGCAATGAGGTTACATTGCATTAATTAGAAATATTCAGACTATCAATAACTAGTAATTTTTTGATGAACATTACTTATCAACTTCATTGATGTCTTCCTACTGTTCTGGTTGTGATAATCAATTTGTTTTGTATTTATGGTTGTTCTTAAACTAATTAAAATTAACAATTAGGTTGATGTAAGTTATTTATATATGAAGATGGAAGAAGTCAATAAAAGATTATTGATAAGCACAATACATGAATGCACATCAGATTATATAGACAGTATATACTTTTATAAATCATGAGTTCATATCTCAATAAATATAAAATGAAATAATAATGTAAGTATTTTGCTGTTAGATTCAAAGATATGTGAAAATGTTTTCTGATCGAAGTTGGTTTTCCTAGAGATTAATATAAATTGGTGGTAATTACTCACTTAAAGAACATGGAACCAGCAAATGAATCCACTTGAGCTATAAATATTCTTTTCGTCAATTCAGCATATTGATTGTATCCATTTATGTAATTTTTCTTACTAATGACTAGAGAATACCCAAATTGCTTAAGGTAAAGTAAATTTCAGATGATCACTTCTGTTGTTTGAGAAAAACTCTGACACCAGATCAACACATCCGTACAAATCGTAAATTCACCTACTGTCATTTAACTTCTAATTTCACTAAGAATTATCTAATTTAACTGAAATATTTGAATTGAAATAACTGTTAAAGCCATCAACTAAGGAACAGTCGAAATATTATTTTTTAAAGGAAGACATAGCCGTCATTCATTCACATTATATTTATCTTAATTAATAAATACTTTTCTAAAATATTACTGGTATTCAGTCATATAAAATAACTCATTTCTGTCTGTTATCATATATTTTAAATCAAAGATTCAAAATTAATACTTTAGCTAATAAAATAGACGAACTTTTTAAGTTTATAATATTCAATATCAAAAGAGATTTTTGTGGATATTATAGTAATTTCAGCAGTTGAGATCATGAGTCAATTAAAACGAGACTACCATGGAAAACCTGAAAGCAATGGACGATTGTTTCGTCTTATTGTTGAACTCCTCAGCAACGCGTCCCTACGATCCCGCATCGCAAGGTTCGAACACAGAACCTGTCGATCTTGCGTGCAGACACAACCACTAGACCACTGAGCCAGCATGCAGTGATGTTAACGTCTAACTTCGACCAACCCACGAAACTGAGCGACATATCCACCATTCTCTTCAGTGAGTTACTATCTTATAGCAGATCCGGTCGAACTCCACTGGTCACTGCTTCTCAATAGAGCTACAGGAAATACCTCTTGAAGCCTATCACTAGTGAGCATATGTTGATTAATATCAAAAGGCGTTTTTGTGGATTTCAGAATAATTTCAATGGTTTAGATCATGAGTCAATTGAAGCGAGACCATCATGCAAAACCTGTTTCGACCTATTGTAGAACTTCTCAGCGATGCACATCCACGATCCTATCTCGCGAGATACAACATTTAAAACAAAATCACTAGCGATATTCTAGACCTTCATTTCAGAGCAAATTCATCATTCATAAAATATTACATATTAGAAAGATATATAGTAATTTATAAATTCATGTTACCATTATGTTCTACCAGTTGTTACTAATATATTTCCACTTTTCTTCTGGAAAACAGTAAACATAAAACATGATGTTGAAATAAGTAGAAAACAATCTGTTTTATGTTCAGTGACTTTTCTGTCATAAGGGAAAAAAACAACAACAATAAGAAGAAGATGAATTTTCTGTCATTGTTTAAGTTTTCTTAAATTTCGTTCAATTATTCATGTTAATTTAAAAATGAAAATATTATGCGCTCATTTGATTAGTCAAATTAAGAAGATAAAAACAAATTTATACAATATTGGACATTGAACATCATGAATTAAGAAATTAACTCATTTTGACAGTCCTATGTTAATTTAAGTCTCATTTTTTTTATCATAAAATAAAAAGATACATAACATCATTGACGACGATATGTAATACATTTTCTGATATCTTTTATTATATATAAAGTTTAAATAATAAAATTTATGGATAATATTAATCTTTATTCAAAATATTAATTAAGCAATTCATTCATTCTATTTTTCAAAGAACAATATCATTCTTAAAAGAAGTTGACAATAAGTTTTAATTACTACATGTTAGCACAGTAGGTCATCAATAAGTTGTTCTGTATAAATGGTGAAATTCTTTAATGATCACACAGTATCCCCCTAGTAACTATAATATTATTTTTCAAAGAAAAATAATATTATTTCATTTCAAGACAAACGTCATTTGCTGACAGATAATCGAGATTATGTACAGAGGATAAATGTGTTGTAATGTATCTAGGCTTTCTTTTTCTCAAAGTATGATACTTTATTACTTGTAAGTGGATAAAATGAATCAAATTGACTATAAAAACTCTTTAGAATAGATAACATTTTTTTTGGGAGAATGATTGGAAGTCATGAAGCAATAGATACATTTTTCATTCTAATTTGAAAATGATCAGTTTTATGCATTCTTGTTGCTAATCACGATTGAAAACAAGATCGTCACATTTAACAGTGCACAAAGTGATATTATTTGATAAATAATTTAGGATTTATTCGTGGGAGTTCATGAATAAGTGTTCTCTGCAACCTTGGGGAGACAAATACTGACTAATATCTATCTGATTAAGTGTCATAAATAGATATAATGTTACTGAACTCTTTGGACTAGTTATGAACCTGAAAATACGACATAAATTACTCGCAAACGACTATTTAATGTATTTGACTAAATCACTAGATGTTATTGGGAATTTGCGTGCTGAAGTAATAAGTTGCTGAACTTTTGAGATTACTGATGTAATTTTAAATATTAACTAAGATCATTGGTTTCTATTGGATTATAGACAAGCCTCAGCTGTAATTAATAATTCTGATAGTTCCTATTAATTACGTTCAAGGAATTCTAATATTAAGAACAGTGTACAGTAGCATTAATCAAATAAATTTAGTGATCAAATTGCAGATTTGATTCATGGAATTCAGTTGGCTTTAGTGAGTAACTATTATAAATTTGTTTCCGATTCTATCCTCAACAAGTTTGCATATGAAAAACTCCAAAGGGAATTTAGCAAATTTTATCATAAAATCTATAACAATAAAGCTTATCTCCCAACTTTAACTCAACTGAACTTAACAAAAAAAATAGATAATTAATCAAAGTAGTTTTAGGAAGAACTTAGATTATTTGGCGACACCCTTAATCACGACTTGAAATCAGAAGAAAACTATAAAGTTTGTGAAAATTGTTGTATCCCAGTTCAATAATTCTGAATCACCATAAAACAGTTGTCCGATTCTTCCACGTTTCAACAGTCAATTAGCAAAGACACCATCTTAATCTATTGTATTGGTAAATAAATTTACTACATTTAATCATTTTCATCATGAATCATTCATACAAGATGTTCTAGAGTCAAGAACTATAAATAAGTAATCATACTGGATTATTTTAGGCTGATCAACAAAATATAACATCGATAACACATAAATCATTAAAGCGTGGTCACTTTCACTATACTAATGATTGCCTTTAATGGTATCCTACTATAATTTAAGCTAAAAAGTCTTAAAATCCTCAAGAGTATTAGAAAGGAAAAAACGAAACATACACAAAACAATGAGGTCATCCATCCATTTGAATTAAATTATACGACTATCAAAAGTTTTTTTAAAAATTCATTCATCTTCATTAAACAATACTATTATTATTATCAATATATCTAATACTACTCACCCTACTCAACCTTCTAAAATGATATTGAGTAAAGTAAACAATAACAATGGAAGTAAGTTCGTTTTTAACCCTAATGACTACTCACCTATTTTTTTTAACAATCTATCTTATTTATCGTGTTTACTATTACTACTACTACTACTACTACTACTACTACTACTACTACTACTACTACTACTACTACTACTACTACTACTACTACCTTCTTATCTTTATTTCAATGCAACTGACTGTCTCTATCTCCTTATTTATCCTTCTTTATTTTCTTCTTGTTGTCTAAACTCTTTAATACAGTATTGATTAATTTCGTAATTCGATCTTAATTCCTTTCTATAGATCATATGATAAAGACTGAAATAATGAATAAATAACTGCATGTATATGAGTGTTTTGTTTTGTGTGTGAAATATTGAAAAATAAATATATTTTTACTTTATTCTGATAAAATTACTTTCCATTGGTTGTTACCATCTTTTTTTCTCTCTCTCTCAACAATTTCTTATAATCAAATAAAGATTTTTATTAAGTTTATGTTTAGATTAAAGAATCAACTTATAATCAGTTGATAAAGAAAATGTATAAACCTGTGAGTATATACATTTAACCGGCAAATAAAATAACTTCTGATATAAACTACAATAGTTGGTCTATATTAACTGAGTTGATTAGTTACCTAGTTATATGGACTGGTTGTAAGGGAGAAAAAAATTAACTATTAATTTAATAATTATTATTAGTTGAACCTAATTTACCATTGTAAATTATTCTAACGATTTATTCAAACTAACATCGATAGATTAGGGGTCTTTAGTCGGTGAAGTGATAATTCATAATGGTATAGATCAATAGCTCATATTTACAGATCTAATAAAAACAAAGAATTTTATTAGATAAATCTCTTTAACTCTGAATGATAGATTAAATATAATTCACTAATCGACTAATATTGCTATTCTATTAAAGTACACATTAGAATTGTGTTTTATTAGTTCAAATGTTAACTAGTTGGATAAAATAAGTCATAGAATGGTACTTATATTGACACTCTTGTGCTTCAAAAGATATTTCAATATTCAATATTCAATGCTGTATCATGGTAAACATAATCCGTTAAGCACTATATACAATTTTTTGATTATTTATTCGCAACTTCTGTAATAATTTTTCAATATAAATTTCCTTTTCTGTTGAACTTAGAAAGAAAACTTAATTATTCACAATATACTGCTTAAATCATATGTCTAAGCTACTTTTTATAACCTCATATGACCTTGATCTTTAGCTACCATTCTCATATTCATTCTAATATGTGTTTAACAAAAGTTAATAACACTAATCTTAATAAAACTAAAATCCTCGATCTGATATTTTAATGTTAAAATTTATCTAGGAGAGTAGTACAATGTTTTTATTTGTTCTAGACTTTTTTTGAAGCGGTTAATCTTTGATAAGTCACATTAAATCTTAGAACTAGATCATAAAAATCAGCTACTCTTATAAACTGTATATAAGGAAATGATTAAAAAATAATGACCCATTTCTTATATCCAAAATATGTAGAATTTCCAATCTTTGGTGTTTATTGTGTTAGTATAAGTCGCTTCCGAATGTAAAGATATTTCATTTTATAAAATATATTAATATTCTTATAGTAAAATTTAAAATAATTTCAAAAAATAAAGAAACCTTATTCTTCACATATTGATTTGTTCTCCTATATGACCTCAATATATACACAGAAACAATTATGAGTGTTGTGAATAAAACTACATATTTAGACTTTTACCATTGAAGTGAATCCCAACAATAGATATTTTAAACTTAATAAATGTAACAGATGCACATTTCATGGTTTTCATTTTACACCAAAATAATCAATAAGTTTCAACTAACTACTTTCACAAAAATGTTTTCTAAAAGAAAATAGGATTTAATATTAGAATAGACGAGTCGTGGTTATTATTGAAATCTTGAGTTCGAGTTTTGCCTTATTTGAGTATCGTCAGCCGGATATCTGTATACTTGCACTGGGACTTGAACCAAGTACTTTATTTTTCAGATAACCATTGCGTTATCCATTGAGTTGCTGAAACCAGATAGGCATTAACTTGTTTACTACTAAGGGTTTAAATTGTTCCAATATTGATATTCAGGACTGAATTCCGGTTAGTCTTTGTTAGCGTACATTTATCCTGTGCAGATTGTTCTGTTTTAAATGTAGTATAAATGAATCGTGGTTAGCGATGGAATTTTCAACCTTTTGTAGTCAATAATGTTTTTTTTTACTTGATGTAAAAGTGTAATGAATGAGGTTCTTTCTAGACAATTGATAAACTCACTTATCATTAGGGACAAACTTCAGTCCTAGTGATAAAAGATAGAAAAAGTGAAATAAACGATATAAATCAATCGTGTCTGTTTTTGCGAAAATAAATTTATTGTAAACAAAAAAATGAAAGATGGAGGAGGGAGAGGAAGAAAACGTACTTTAATTTAAAAATGTTATCTTTTACATACCTTGGTTGAACTAAACTGTTTACACTTTTTATGGGCAAGATTTTAAAATTTATCTTTAACTTGTTATTTCATAATCAACTAAGCTTCATTTTCTCTCATTCTTACCACGATTGATGCTGTTGATACGCTAGTTTCTTTTTTTTACAGTCATCTTGGAAAAAAACAGATCATAGGTTATAGTTACTTTATTCTTCCCTTTTAATGAGGAATGAGTTTACAAATAAAAACTATCAATCTATGGATATAAAATAGAATCTATTCAGTAAGTTTAGCGTAAAAGACACATTGATTAGTCGGTAAAGAATAAATTAATGAAAATAACCCTGGATACGATTCTAATTATTATCTATGATATATTTTCTTATATTTAATAGTAATGTTAACTTGAATCTTCTCATGGATGTTTAGGACTTTAACTGATCAGTCTCTTGTTGGTATGCGTGCATACTGTGCGTATTGCCTCAATATTGCTTTAATTCACAAGCATTATAAACAAAGATAGATTAGAGGATAGCTTGAGCAAAAAACAACATCAACTACGATTGATTATGTCGATGAGATCGTCTGTTTTATCAGTGAAAGTTTTCGAAAAGAATATTGAAATGATAAGCAAATCCTACTTTTCATTTTGCAGTTTCAAACATAAACTAGATTTCGTTGTTTCTGAATTTATTTACTTTTTTGAAAATAAAGAATTAATCTATTTTTGTTTTTCTTTACTAAGATTTTGTTATTTCATTATCATTCAGAATGACATCAAATTTACAATTTCATATATGTGAATACTTTCATTGGCTATTGAATTTAACAAAGGAGTAGGTTTACAAACAATGTATATATATTAGAGAGATAGATCTGGAGTTGTGTTTTTTTACCCCAGTTTCGTTATAGTTTTATTTAATCACAGTTCTAATCTCTCTTTTCAAATAGCCTTAAAGTATAATTCATATTCTTGTTTGTTCAATTTTTGTGTTTATTTTCTTGGGTTATATTTGCTGTTATGATTTTACACATATATTTTGAGTTCCCCTATGCATACATCATGCACACGCATGCATACCCATACACATACATACAAACATACATGCGTAAAATGCATATTCACGTGTATAACCATTTTCATATTCTCGATTTCAATCTTCCCACATCTGATTTACTCGTATCAGATCATTATGACACAAACAAATATGAAATCCGCTTTATTTTTCTTATTCACTTGAAAAGATTTATCATAGATATTGTTGTTATTGGTTTATTCATTTCTCTCATTTATTTTTATTCTTAACAAATTTTCTCTTTTTTTTCTAGAAAATATTAAACCAAAATTTAGTTTTACTTATCAATTGAATGTTGAAAAACAAATAAAGTCATTAACTTTCTTGTTCTTATATCTAAATTTTCTTATGTAGTAAGGAAAAATAATTAAACTGTAGGTAAATCCAAAAGAAAAGAATTTATTTTCCACGATTATAGTCAAGAAAGATTAACATGAGACCATCATTGAAAACTGAAAACCTAGAAGCATTGGATGGCTATTTCGTTCTAGTATGGGACTACTCAGCAGTGTGCAACCACAATCTCACGCGCGAAACTCGAGCCCGAGACCTTTGATCTCGTGTGCGAACACTTAGCCTCTGGACTACTAAGCCTGTGTCCAATGGTGTTAATGTATAACTTAAATTAATTCACTATATTGTACAACCAATCTTCATTGTCTTCAGTGAGTGACTGCCTCACACCCGACACAGATTGGATTCCACTAATCATGGCTTCTCACTAGAACTCCAGGAAATCGATCTTGAGGCCAATTACTAGTGAGCAGATAATGATTATTGTCACATTGCGGGTTTGTAGTCTAACATTTATCCATTCGTGATCTCAATCAAAATTCAACAATTACCATAACCCTTTACTAATAAAGTGATTTGTTATAAAGCCGAATTTCAGTTCAATTAAATAACGAATTCAATAATCACTAAACAAGAATTATAACGTTCAATTAAAACATCAAATTAATATTGAATTTTGTTTGATTTAAGTTAAATTCTGCATAATAAGATCTAAAAGTAGCTAATATTGAAGTGAACGAAGACGTAGTGAGAGTAAACAATTTATTATCGGATGCAAAATTACAGTTCTTTAGTAAAATATAAGAACCATACATTGAGTGCTTTATTTGCGAATCGTCCATCAAATTTCCTTTACATCCTTCATGACTCTTCCGATTCTCGATTCCCTCCTATTTTCCCTTGTATTCTCTTCAACTCAATCTTCTCAACATTTCTGTGAACAAAAATTGACAGAGCACAAAAATGGGGTAGTTACAATCATATTTAACAATTCAAGCAATAATTCTATTTGAATTTTCCTATATTTATTGACCTGTTAACAGAGATTTAATGATGATTTACATCGTGTCAATTTGTGATAAGAAATCTGTTTTATATCGAATCCTGTCAACCTTGGGATGTTCAGACTAAAAATGGACCTTTTTAACTTGTGTTTTGTTGACACTTGAAGCCTTTCTGTCATATCGAAATTATGAACATATTTGAAGAAGAAATATAACTCATTTACCAAGTACAGGTTTAAGTATTCTAATTTCAGTCATGATTTGGGTGCATGCTCATAATGGAATTTACAAAGCACATGTTAAAAAACGATGCATACTGTTTGAAAGCGCATTGGTAAGTACATGAAGACTCTACTTCATTTTAGAAGGAAGAAAGAGAAAATGAGAACGGATAAGGTTGAAAACTCAAATTAATTCGAATTTTACTATGAAAATTATTTCTAGCAGTTTTATCCAGTTTGATTCTAATGATTTTTAAATTGCATCCTTAAAAAAATTAATATTTGTGTTTTCTTTTTTTTTTACATTTTACACATTTCATCCACTGCACCAATTATCAAACTCTCCTGGATTTGACCTTCTTTTGTCTCATCATATTCGTTATTCTGAACAGATGGCTTCTTCAAATCGATCAATGTTTACTTCTGAACAAGAATTAAATTTATTAGTAAGTGTTTATTTCCGAAAAAAACAATATTTTAGTTGTTTGTTTATTTGTTATCGTTTTTTTCATCTTTTTTAGGTTATTTTTTTCTCTCTAACGATTATTCTTTACATCTTCAGTTGTTTCTTGTTTTATGTTTGAGTTTATTTGTATACTTGTTTTCCTAAACAAAAAAAGGGTTATGTTATTTTCTCAATTCTAATGTACAAACTAACTACTATTTACTTTTTTATTTGGTAATGAGTTAGATAAGATTGTTTTTTTTTTTATTGATTATCTACTGATATGTAAGGGTATGTTTAACATTTGTGTGTGGACAATACGTGTAATGAAATGAAAATGTAACATTCAGTATATAATTATGATAGTAAATAGCCACTGTCCTTATCCAAAATTCCATAGTGATAAAATACTTCCAAGTTTTAGCTAATTAAATATACCGATTTTTTAGCAAATTTAAAATTTGAACATTGAAACAATTTTGTTTGACTACAAGACAACTTTTAAATAATTTTGATCCAGTTAATTCATAATAGTTAATGAAGATATAATATTTTATCTGTTTGGTGGTTTGTGATCATATGTAATTCGTCTGTTAAAAGGAGTGACAATAATAATAATAAAACGGAAGTAAAATACTTAACAATGTGCATCACGAACTGAAACTTCGAGAAGTAATTAGTCATGAGGTTAATGATTGAAAACAACTCATTTGATATATCTGATACCAGATGTAAATATACTACAAATGTACAAGCTCAAAGAGAGAGTATCTTGGAAGTGTCCATTTACCATTATTTTAGATCATTTCAAGAGTGTTTGAATGTTATACAGAGCCACATGAAGTAAGTAGTAGGTCAGAAATAAACAATTGTGAAAAGTATCACGATCCGTTGACAATATATATGGGTAATCGGTAATTATCCTCATTGTTGCACAGTTATAAAACATTTTCCAATTTTTGCTTTCAACTTCGTTTATCTAAATGTAACAATTAGCTGATTAAGACAGTTGGCATTTAAGGTGACTTCAGTAAACGGTGAAAAGTCTTCATAAAATCGGCAGTTTATACTTAATTAATCCGTTTTAAAATATTCATTATTATAGAATGAAATCAGTTAAGAAAATACTCAGTAACAACAAATAACTGAACACAATTTGATATTGTTTGGTAATTCATTAAAATTTGAAGAGCATTATGCTAGTTTATTGTTGATGAGAAGTAAAAATCCGAAAACATTATGGATTATTAAATAAACCATCAATACTTCACATTAAAATTTTGTTTGAGCCATTGGATGATGTTTATCGATACATCGTCGTAAACAATAACAAATGAGTTCTACATAAAACTGACGAATTCAAGTTAAAGCATTCAGATAAGCCATTACATTGTTTTTCAAACTGAACTCTTTTCCAGGGATAAAGCAATTTAATTCATAAAGTTAATTATCATTTAATAGTCTTCACCCTTCAGTAGTAAGGATATAAATTAATCTTTAGGATTTATGATACACTGAACATCTAATATCTCTTTGGACGTATCAACAAAAGACGCTGATACTGTATGTTATGCCAAAGAGTTCCAGTAATTCACGACTCAATACGAGAAGCAAATTTACAGGAGCAAAATATTTAATCTCAGTCATTGAACATTCTGAAAATATTCTGTCAATAGATCAGTCCTAGACGCAAGAAATTGTTGAAATCTAATAACAGTAAAATCGTATTCTATAATAATCTGCAATTTTGAACATATATTGGATCATTTATAAATTTCCTTCGAGATCCAGAAGTCTGTCACAACCACCTTAGAGTTTCCTATGGCTCTGAGGTCATTGGCTACAATGACTTCTAAATCGTTGTTATCAATGATTTTAGATTAAAGGATTCCTATGACTTATTATTTCATACTCTTAGAAATATAACGTAGTATCCGAAGACTGGAAAATAACTTAACAATAATGAATAGGATGATAAAAAATGTCAGTTAGCTTTCAAAAGTTAAGTTCAACGCTCAATTCGCAACTGACGACTTCATGTGCAGTTTCAATTCCTGGACTTTCTGACATCTAAATCACTTGTCATATTCATGCTAGATTGGTTAAAGGCCAGTAAAAAAAGTTTATTTTCTGAAAAGTATTTATAAACTGATGATGTCAATGTTAGTATTGGATCACTTTATCATTCATGAGTTTCATTATCATATGGTTCAATATTTATTTGCAAATGAATTTCTTCCAAAAAATGCATCAATTTGATTTGCATTTATTATATTTGTTATATTTTTTTGATATTTGTTGATAATACTATTGAAGGTGTGGTATTTATATTAGAGATAATAAAATTTATTTTGTATGTTCCTTCAGTTGGTTGGTCTGAAACCGGATAAAATGGAGTAATTTTAATTTACTGAGTAGTTTATAATCAAAGATTTAAATTGTTTTCTATCAGAATTCGAATTTTCATTTTTAGTAAGATCGTAAGCCAACATTTTCACCAATTGTAATTTCAACAGTTGAGATCATGAGTCAATTGAAGCTAGACCACCGTGGAAAACATGGAAGCATTGGACGGTTGATTCGCCTTATTGTGGGACTCCTCAGTAGCGTGCATTCACAGTCCTGCCTTGTGAGGTTTGAACTCAGCACCTATCGGTCTCACGAGCGAACAACTTATGCCAATAAACAATTATATTCTAAGTTTTGAAACGATTTTATAAAATACTAGTCATTTGAAACTGATTAAATTAATTTTTATAAAGTTCATAATTTTAAGCATAGTCTGGTAAGTTTAAACAATATTGCTCATTAAGTTTATCATTTGTAATGCATATTTAACGATAGGAGACACCATTCACTCAATGTCGAATATTATTTCTTTAAGAAATGGGAAGAAGTACTTTGTTAATTATTTAATAAGTTAATTTCTATAGAAAACAAAAAACACGTTCTTATCATTGTCTATTTTAGATTATTCAAGCGATTCATGTGCTTCGGTTTCATTTACTGGAAATTGAGAAGGTAAGTGTGATTGATTTTTAAAAAATGTTGATATTCATGTACATTAATTATTTTGTACTATTTGCCTATGACAATCTTTGATTATACTTTTCAGAAAGTAATTAACAGGCTTAAATCCTCAGGTTCGAAATAAGAATTAAATGATTGTTTATGGTTAATAATAAATGAAGTTGGAAGGTTTATTGAATATAACAGCTGACTAATTTTAGTATCTAGGTGATGAATCTTAAAATCACTATTTACAATAAATGGATAACGATAATAACTGGAATACAACAGATGTATATGTCTAGATTTCAGCTATTTAACAGAATATACGCTCTATTGGTGAAAAGATCGAAATCACATTCTTTTGATCATATAAGTTTCATAAACAAGATCATAAGAACAAAGTATACTATGCTTAGTGCATTTTTCACTTTATAAAAAAGTCGTTTCTGTTAATTTTAATAAATATTCATTGAACAATTAATGAGTGTAATTCGCCTTAAGGCTAATAAATAGTGTTTAGGATGGATCTAACTCTGAAGAACTGCATCAAAACTAACTTGCACTTAAATTAAAAGTTAAACGTTTTGAGTTTTTCTGAATACTTGATTTATACACATAGTCTAGAAGTCAATATAATGAGTTTTCCTTCATTCATAACGACATAAAGTAATTTTCTTATTTTATTTAAATGCTATTAAACCAATAGTAAAGATTTGGCTATCATACAGCTTACCACAAGGTATGTTATATTGTAACATAAAACTTTTCAAGCTACATTTCTAGTATTCCACATTGAGTTCTAAGATAATAGGTCTCATACTAATTGTAATTTCAGAAAATAAGGGTACTATAATTGATGAACATATGATGCTATTAGAAATTTTGTATATCCATTGATAATACATAAAACTTAATTCAATTAATACTAATTTCATTCTTATATATTGATAATAATGTATAATCGGTGAATGATTTATTAGGCGATATCAAGATTAGGTTTTTATTAATAAGCTATCAAAAATAATGGCAAATTAAACTATGAATAGGCTAATACATTATTCATAATAATAAAAATAATAAGACAGATAATAATACAAGGAATAACATTATCTATTTTCTACATAAGTAAATCTATTATTTGCAGGCATATGCAGTGATAACATTCATATACAAACATACAAACTAGTAGATAAGGGAAGTATTTCATCTTACACTTACTGGTTTATACATACGTTCATTTTCGTAGTATAACAAAACATCAAGTTTGTAGCATAATAACAATATAATATGTAATATAGCAATAATAATAATAATAATAATAATAATAATATAATAATAATTGAATCATTAGTATTGCTATTTTTCCTTTCTATTAAACACAACGATTTGTCGACTTTTATTTTTCTAATATTATCACTAGTTTGAATCATTAGTAGTTACAGTGTAGTTTTCGCTTTCATATGCTTCATTCTCACTTTCCTGTTGAATGCTTTCACCTTCTTGTATTTTTTTGTCTGTCCTTTTCTCTCTCGTTTATTGTCTTCTTTTTTTCTCTTTTCGACTTGTGATGTTGTTTTCTTCTTTCTATTCTATCACATTTACTTTTCTTCCCCCCTTCACTTTAATCTTTTTCTGCTCTTCTATCTTTCTATATATTTCTGCCTATCTCTACCGCTTCTCACCAATAAACTATGAATACGAGTTAGAAAGTTTATAAATATAGAGAAATAAACTCTTATACTATTGAATGATTGAACGAATAGATGAATTAATGAATAATAAATGATTAATTCCTTTCGATATTCTCCTTTTTGATATTATAAAAATAAAAAAAAATTATATCAAGTAGAAATCAAACGAGTATATATATAAACTGTACATCAAAGTTTGTCTCTGTACGTGTGTCTAACCTAACTACTTCTCTTAATCTTTACTAATCATTTGTAATTCATAACTCTGACAGTTTTCTACAACTGAAAATGACAGTAATACATATTACCTTGATAGTTGATTGTAAATAATTAAATTGGAAATCGATTTGGTTGAAAAAAATGTAACATATAGAGTACGAAATTTACTCACAATCTTCTTTATTTAGGCTTAGCAATATCTCACTAATTATTCAAAAAAAAACTTTTTTTAAAAAATTAACGATATTTTAACTTCATAGTTACAGTACTACCGGTATGAAGGTAAAATATTCATTAGAAACTATAAAGCTTATGGAATTATGTTGGAAATGAGAGAGGAAGTTATCATTGGAATACTTTGAATTAAAGGAGAAACAATTATTCGATTGATTTGTGTGTATATTTTTTTACTTCACAACTTTGCCACGTTTGTGATGTGCAATAATTATGTGAAAAAGTGCACAAAAATACGTCATATTATAAATACAAATAAATCATATATCGTAGAAATAAAAAGTAAAGTATTTAGTAAACTATACAGTCCTTAAATGTTTCGTTGAAGTCGCAATTCAATTAAAGCTGGACAACCACTGTAAACCTGGAAGCATTGGAAGACCGTTTCATCCTAGTATGGTTATGTTCAGTAGCGTGCACCCACTGTTGCGCTAATAGAAGCCGAACCCAGGACCTTGTTTGAAACGGTCAACCTCTAGACTGCTGAGCCTGGATCCAACGGTGTTAATGTTTAACCCCAGCTAATCCACAGCATTCAATGACCATTTTTCATTATCTTTAGTGAGTAACTGCCTCCCGCTCGACTCAAATTAGCTCCACAGTTCACAGCTTCGCACTAGAACTCTGGGAATTTTCTTTTGAAGCTAGTTATTAGTGAACAAATAATAATTCTCAGTGTGTGCGTGTGGAGATTGAGGAGTTTAACTGAAATCGGAACCGATATATAGGATATATTTAATATGACATTTATTCATATGCAACTGAAATAACATTAGTTTTGATTATTCTTTAAATGAGTTAGGTGACACTAAGTTAAGAACGGCTATAATGATTAAAAATATCATGATATTTACGAAACGAGAACACAGTGTGAATAATTTGAAACGAACTACAACAAAAGTACCATAATTATCTGTTAACAGTAGTATTTTCAATAATATAACAACTAAATCATCAAAATTTGTAAGTTTTTAGATTAGCCTACAATATCAAGTAACAGAGAAGTAATCGTACTTGTATATTAGTGGGATAAATATTTTTCCACTCAGCAATGAGCTATTTTAGCTACTCTTCCAGTTAAAGCTTAGAACAAATCGGTTTAATGTTAAATTTCTAGATTAGTTTTGTGTGTTCAGTAAAGTTTTGCTTAGTATTATTTTCTCAAACGACATATTCTCAGTAGTTTATCATTGTCACTACACATTTTCAATGAAACCATGTTTCAATGATTGATTTATCCTGTTTTCAATCACTGTTTCATTATCCATTGCATTTTCACCTCATGTATTTTAGTAAGAAAGCAGTATTCTTATCTCTTTTTTTACAATATGTGACGCTTCAAGTGTGATACACAGAGAAGAATATGTCTAGTAGGTTACTTAAGTATTTAAAAGTATTTATATGTACAAAACTATCAAAACAAGCTATGCATTATTGTACTATACTGGTTTATATTATCATATAATTATTCAGCTAAAGCACGTGTGATCTCAGTTTCGGAGCTACAAAGAGATATGTAATCCTTTGAAACATATTCATTTGAGTAGATCCAGTCGAACCTAGCCATAATGTTTTATGTGTCAAAACAATCCTTCTATCTAGCAGAGATTAAACTTACTGAAATGATCTATAGACTACTTGGTGATTATTTAAATCATACCAGCATTTTAGTACGAATGACATTTTATTGAATAGGTAAATATGGCACTACACAAAATGTTTGGTTTTTGATATTTCCTTATTTATGTTTTCCTTCAGCAAATTTTACGTTTACAGTCTTTTAATAACCAGTCCATTACAGCCTCTCCTGCTTCTTGTTGTTGGTATTCTTTTAATACATAATTTTAAGTGATAATAGAGATCTCTACTATTATGTTCACTGCGTATACGGTGATCATTACCACGACTAAATGAAACTGTTTCAGTGACATTGTAGATTAAGTCTTTTATGTTACGTTTCGATGATCATTTTCATTTTCAAGTTAAATCAACGCATGATTTAAATAAGGCTATCAAACCCTTGTTTTCCGTGACACTTGGAAACTAGTAATAAAATGGTTACCGAAAATCATTGCATTTTTCTTAAAACTAAATCAGATTACTCTAAAGAAATTTTTCAAATGTATTAGTGAGGAGTGCAATAATAAAACAGAATAGTCACTCACGAGTCTCTGAATCTTATCGACTGACAAAATAAATGAAAACATAATACATTTTGTAGCATAATCCTTCCAGAATATTAACTCCTTTATCCTTAAAATTAAAATGAGTTTCATATTGGGTTTTTAACAACTTCGCATTTTGGAATGACTCTGTTAGTCCCGTCTCAGTTATGCGAATATTTACCATGATTTCACGTAACTTTAATACTTTCTCCCATATCAGTGGTGATTTTGTATCATATCATACATAAAGATTTGATTTTGGTTATTTCGCTCGTGTCTATACGTTATGTCGTAAACCAGGTAGATTGTGAATATTTATCTATCATATTTGGTGGTATTTAGTTGGATGATGGAATCTATCTTTTCTACAAATATTTGTCTGTGGGTTTTACTTTTTCTTCCTTTCCTATAACAGCTGTTTTCATTCTTTGTATTGTGTCACTGGACTCTAATACCAGTATGTATTAATATGTGCATATATAACTTTCCTAATATACATTTTAACACGCCAAAGATACACGGCGACATAGCACCCCGTTGTGTGTTTATTCCTAAACGACTTTGCTTATTTCAGTTCGCATAAAATATACACAATATGACAGGTTGACAGCTTTTCATAAAAAAAAGTGAATAACAAATATGAATAAAGAAAAAAATAAAAACTGATATTGGTTATTTTAAATGTTTCAGGGGAATGGTGATGGTTGTGTGATGATATGGTATTAGTGAACCAAAAGAAATCTAACATCATCTAACCAACTAACTAACAAAATGTCCACAAGGCCTGGCATTTTTAATAATAACAAAAAACGCAGAGGATTACTGTATCTTTTCATTCTGTTACTAGTTGAAAGAGGAAGGAAAGAAAAACAAAATCTGTAAATAGACCATTGATACTATCGATATTATGACTACATAGTTTTATCATTAGTACCACTACAACTACAAATACTACTAATAGTAACCAGAATAATCATCACAATATCCCGTTAGTAATCAGCGAAATGATATACATATCGTATTTATCTAAACAAAGTAAAAGATATCTAAAACATTTCCATACAAAAATTCCACTAATGTGTTACTTAGTTAACCTTTGGAATATTGTACATATTTACAAGTAATTTTTTAAAAGTATGAGGGGGTGTGATGGAGCTAAAACTTTTTTGGTTAGGTTTGGTTTATCTAAGGTAAAGTGAGAAGCTGTCAAACTTATCTCTTTTTTTCAACATTTTCTATGTTGTATGCATAAACAGTTTTTAATTTTAGTTAACTACATATGACGCACACATATATGTACATTCATACATGCAGTATAATGATATTCATGTAACTTATACTACTCGAATAAATGATGAAATGGCATAATTACAATCAACACATAGATGAGATAGTAACCATGTTCTTTTACTGAAATTTAGCATATAAGACAATATTAAAATAAGAATCAAAAAAGAACCAGAAATAGGAAAAAAACATTTAGAAAAAAAAATTAACATTATGATGATCTACAACATTTTGTATAGTATGAGATGGATAGATAGGTAAAGAGAGAGAGTGTGTAAGAGAGATAGACAACTGGATGAATTAGTGAAGGAATGAATAGTGATAAATGTTAATTTAAAGGAAAAAAAATGCTGATGTTGTTTTTTCCCAATTTTTTGTGTAGAACTAAATATGATAAAATAAAAGCACAGCATGACAATACACGTGTATATGTTATGTATAGTAATTAACTATCTGACAAAAGAAATCAACAAAATGAAAATGAAATCATGCGCAAAACAAAGAGATGGAGAAAAAGGAATGGAAATTAGTAATGAGAAATGAATTGACAAGAGATAAATTAGTCAACATACAATTTTAATAGAATTAGAAGTGATAGTATTACTAATGTTAATTGGGGTTTTTGATTGTACTCATGACCAATCACGATATGTTGGTTCTGAATAAGTTCATATTATGTAGACAAGTTTGAGGTTGTCGAAATAAAGCGATCTGAATTTTTAAATTTTCAGTGGTTATTTTATTGATTTGTTTTGATCGTTCGAGTCTTCCAATTATTGTTTAGTTTTGCAATTAATCAGTCTCTTTAGGCGTATGTGCACCCTATGTGGATTGCTCCGACATAACCATTAAATCGCAAACATTATAAGCGGAGATAGATGGTAGGTAACAATGGAATCCCCAAACAGTCTTTCATCCTGTTTACAAAACATCAGCTGCATATACTTGCGTCCTAGAAATAATGTTCACTCCGGGACATCATTGGGAAGATTCGAACAAGCAATACAAACGAATTAAAATTCAATCCATAGCATGAGTCAGTCGCCATCTGGAATCAGTGGCTAAGCAGATAACGTGATCGCTGTTGAAGTACGTGGTAATATGCTCGAATCCCGGGGTGAACGTTTACTCTGGGAAGGAGGTACATCCAATTGACGAATCCCAAACAGAGTGAAACGTGTGTTCTAGATTTAAATGCAGGCCACTATCCAACTTTATCTATAGTTGTTTCAGTGTCTAAGTATCTTGTTGTTGTTACAGTAATTTTCCAGAATAACATGTAATATGAGTTGACAGTACATAGTTATGTGTATTTGAATGTAAATACCGATAATCGTAAAAGTACTGGTATAACCGACTGACGAAGTCCGCCTAAAATATCGACAAATATCAACCATAAATTGTTTTCTAAACAGGTTCATCATTTCTTTTCTGAATTCGATTGTGAAATGTTAACATTACTGTGTATGTCCTTTTTGTATCTGATCTTGTAGGTAGAGTTTAAGTTATCCTAAACTGTTTATTATGAACAACATTACTCACTAAGCGAAAGGGAAATTGACCTAGAGTGTTTAGTAAACGTGAAAACATTGTGAATAATTTTAGTCTGGAATCAGCCATGAAGTGAAAACCTGATATCGTTTGTAATTGTAGTTTTACGAGACAATTTTACATTTTTAAAAATAAGTTAGATGTTTCATCTTACAGAGAGGAAAGAAACATTAAAAGTTTAGCTTTAATCATAATTTTATATGTCCAAAAATAGTCATATTATTCTGAATAAAAATATACACTATATACTACTTTCCAGGTAACCTTAGATAACGAATATCAACAAAAGCTTTTTTTCAATCACATTTATGATCATGTCTAGAGTAATATCAAAAGTACCTCACTGGAAAAAATATGTTCTCAAAAATATATCATTTTTAATCATTTACACTTGGAGCCACACAAAAACATATAAAAGTAAGCTTATCGACTATTGTAGATTTGTATTGATTGCAGTGCCTATAATTACCAGTTTAGAGATTTTTGAGGTTTAATTTAGATCATAAAACGATCAATATTGGACCACCATTAAAAGCCTGTGAGCGTTGGATGGTCGTTTCGTCCTAGCATAAGACTCCTCAGTAGTACACATGCGCGTGGGATTCGAACCAAGGACTTATAAATATACTTTTTACTTAACAAACTGAATAAAGGTTTGTTGACTTACCAACATTCATATAATAGAGGTGTACTGATCAGAAAAGACTATTCAAAAGTTTAATAACACTTATATGGACTTTCTAACTGATACGCTTCACAAGACGAGGTAATTGAATAAATGACTTATTCTTATAAAGAATATTTATCAGTTTTTGGTGAAACTTCGTCAGAAATAAAATTAAACATTTCCAGGATATTTTTTTCTGAACAAGAGATCTTTTATTCGTATATTTAGTCTGTTTAAATGATATTAAAAATTAAAGTGACTCGTATTTGTCTGCAGAGACAAGAAAACTCAACTTCTTCCACGTGATGGTATAGTTATGTCAAGGATTACATTACTAAGACTGTTAGTTGAATTCATCTAATTAAACTGTTTATACAGATTATGAAGCATCATTCTCAGTTCATATTGTTTAACAATTACCAGTTAAGTAGGTAATATACACAAGAAATTTTGAATTGTCTTCATTGTTTTTTGCTTCAGTGTGCATTGACCGTACAGTAAATGTTGATATTCTTAACTTTTACACTTTTCCTTCTGTTGTTTTACAATTATGTGATCGAGCATTTAAAAGTACACTGGAACATCTGTGAAGCTGAATAAAAATGATTTTCGCAATATTTATTCCCTAAACGATTCTCGTCATTTAGGCTATGGTAGAGATTAATTTGTATTAAAAAGCAATCTTTTTTAATAAGTCGATACTAATATTGTGTCATCGTTTGAATCCATTGTTAGATGACTATTTCACGTGATGCATCAAGAATTCAGCTAAAAGTTTATTCAGGAAGATTCTTCTTTATAGGTAAACAACATCTTAGAATAAGCATACTTATATGACTTGTCTGTTTAATAACAAAATACGATACACTTCCAAATAAGTTTATCGTGCGAAGGTAAAAAGGATAAGTGACCGTTTTTTACTACATATGTTTATTATATGAAGAAAAGAAAAAATGATCAAATGTCTTATCTAAAAGAAGTTCATTTCTTTTATTTTTGTCCACTCTTACATAAATAATTTTTTATTAGGCCTTTGTTTAATTGTGTTTTGAGCATTTGTATAAATAATGAAATCAAAGGGTAGGTAAAAATATTGAATGAAACTCTAGTAGGGAACAGATACAGAAACATATTATGTCGATGTAAGAGTTGTGTAAAATTGGAGCATTTGTTCGCTATAAAATGCTTATACATAACCATACAATCCATAAGGAAAACATATTAATAACCACTAGAATGTATTAGTCATACAAGTCTATTGAAGTCGAAAAACTAACATTCATACTTCAACATAAAACATAATAATGTAAACTGTATCACACCATCGATTTCTTTAATTTACACATTTACAAGCCCAAATATTTCACAAAGGACAATGATTGTTTTATTACACAGGTTATTTGATCACAAGGATAATTGATTGTGAAAATAAATGAATTGTAATACCCAGACAAAAAAATGAAAAGTATTTATCTTTTATGTAATATATCAATAAGAAACCAGGTACAGGATTTGGACAAGAACGAATCTTAGAGATTAATACGAAAATTGTTATTTGCATTTTGCTAGTTGACGAAATTAAGAAACTTGATTACTATCCAACTTTTAAGGTTATTTTATTCATCATACCTTGTTTTGGAAAGCCATGTGAAGTGAGAAACACTTATTATTCATCCAGATAGTTTTTATGTGAGTCCAAGCGAAGAAAAAGAAGAATAAGACAAATGAACAACAGGTTGATCACAGAGTATAATGTCTAAAATAGCCATTAGTTAAAGAAATCCAGTTCCCTACATGATTTGTACACAGAATTCGATTAACAATCAAAACTCTTGATTTATCTGGTAATAAACAAAACTTGATGGATTCATATTTTTATTACTGAATACAATTGTTTCTCAATAATTTCTTTGATTTTATTTTTCTCATTTTTTTATTTTTAAAAACTAGGTTCATGAATTATGCGATAGTTTTTGTTCACGTTACATTACATGTTTAAAAGGTAAAATGCCATTGGATTTAGTCTGTGAAGATAGAGAATCTGCCGCTGATTCTACAGGTTCAGCAACAAGTCCATTTTTAAATCGTTCATCTTCACCAAATTTATTTACTGATCAAAATGAATCATTAATAAATAGTCAACAGAACAATTCTAATTTGTATAGTAATAATAATAATAATGGCTCTGTGCAAAATGGATCATTATCACTTTCAAATCATCCTCTTCAGTCATCATCATCTGCGTCGCTTACGCCAAATTCAATTCCTCACCTACAAGAATCTTGCTTATTTAATTCGGATTCATTAAACATTATGCAAACATTCAATCGTACTAATAACAATAATAATAGTGTATCAACTGTAGAAAATTTTAAAACTATTCTGTCTAATGAATTTGAACATAATCAAATTATTAATTCTAAAAATATTGGTATTACTGCAGATTCGTCCAAATTAAACTTTGGTTTAAATGGATCCATGTCATCATCATCCACATCATCAATGGGTTCAACTTCACCTAATGCACAAGTGGTAAGTATTTTTGTGTGAAGATATTAACTGATTCATAGAATTGATGAAAATTTATTCACAAGCTGGATTTGTTTAAAAATCATTAAACATTATTAGAATGGCGGTTTGTGGGGAATGTAGTAATCTCAAAAAAACAAAACATTTTAATAATATTCATCATGTACTCAAGACAGATTTCCTGGAGTTCTTTTGAGAAGCCGTAATTACTGGAGTTCACTCCATGTCGGGTGTGAGGCAGTTACTCACTGAAGACAATGAAGGCTGGTAGCCCAATATCGTGGATCGTTTTAAGTTAGACATTAACACCGTCAGATGCCGGTTCAGTAGTCTAGGAGTTAAGCGTTCGAGCACGAGATCGATGGGTTCGAGTTTCGTGTGTGAGAATGTGGATATGCACTGTTGAGTAGTCCAACACTAGAATAAAATGGCCGTCCAGTGCTCTCAGGTTTTCAGTGGTGGTCTAGCTTACATCAACTCATGAATCCAACTATGGGAAATACATTAGAATCAGAAGGGGTTTTGTGTAGATGAGATCATGAGTCAATTGAAACTAGACCACCATTACCAAGTTAATATTACGATCAATGTCTTTATTAAGTAGTGATAAACAAACCTATGATTTCATAACATTGATTTGAAAGACAAAAAATAACTGATTAATTTAAGATAACAAATAAGCTTTTATATTATTCATTTATTACTAATCATTCATTTTAATTTTTAATGATTCCCTTTTATTTATGATTCATATAATAAAACAATATAAGTATGAAAATATTTAAAATAAATATTGAGCATAGAATATATGTATAACCCTTTCCTTGTTTATTCAAAGTGTCTATGACAAGAGCAATTCATATCCAGGGTAATATATATATATATATATATATATATATATATGTATATATATATCAATAATAGTCAAATCAACTAAATATCATGAATACTTTATAGGGAATGAAAGTTTAATTAATAATTTCCCAAATTCTTCTAGAAATGACAAGAATATATATAAGAAGATACTATACATATATATAAACAATTACAGTCCAAGTGACAATTGCATGTATACAAATTTAAGTGAATGTACATGTACGCTTGCATAGATATTTCTGTTGTACATGTATGTGATTGTGATATGACATTTGACAGATATGACCAATGATCAATGATCGACTTCCAACAAAGTTATTTAAATGTAAATAAACAAAATAAGAGAATCGAAATTTCAGAATAAGTCAAATATAAATATTGTGTCAACACAATGTTGTTCATATAAATCTGTACTTTGTTTATTTATTTTAGTAAAAGAAGGTAATAATCTAATCAAATATAACTTTGTCACTAATTATAAAACATTGTATATATGGACTGTGCATAAACTGAATTTGAAAATGTATAGAGTTGGGTATGTATTTTATGCTTTATTTATGAAGTAAAAAACAGTTTTAGTCACAGCTTCAGTGTCATTTAAATAGTCATCGAAAGATTTAACATACAATGAATAAGTTTTTATTATTTTTATTCCACGATTTCTCTAACGATACATCGTTCTTGTTATGTTCATTCCATTGATCTTCTTATGACATGATGAAATTCACAAGTACTCTTAAATCCGTACTTAATACTTGTGACTTATAGTAACAAATTATGTAACAACTTATTTTACTTCCAATATTTTACAATCAGATAAGTTCGGTTAAAAGCATAGACATTCTGATTTTTTTTTTATTTCTCGAAGTTTAATAAATAGTTGTTATTGTAGCCACTTTAAAGTTGCTTAATTTAATAATCTATCATTGTGATTTAATACATCAAATTGATCTCGACGGTAACCACCTAGATTTAGTTTGTAAATTATTTGTATAATCAAACATTAAAATTAGACACAATATACAATTTTAAAATTAAAGCCGAATTAAGTCTATATTATAGGTTCCGTATCTCTCCTCTTCTTCTTCTTCTTTATGCTCTTGTATTGTGTTTCATTTTTGAACTGGTTCATTCTTTGGAAATCTTTTTCTCAAATATTTGGATTATAGAGTTATTAAGAAAAATCAATACGTTTCAGAGAAGAAAATTTTCTTTTCGATGTTATCGTTTTGTTAGACCATATAATTCTATTAATAGTCTATTTTCTTTTGAACTAACACTTATAAGATTACTTATCAATACTATTGTACAGCTCAAGAAAATGACATCGTCTAAAAGAATATTTTCTTCAATGGATTTTTTCCTCAACATGGATTACTATTACTGTAATAATATGTGCTGGAGTGTAACTAATTTCGAGAGGACAGTTTCCAGAGTTTTATTGACCATGTTGAATGTTAGTTAGCCGGTGAATAGTGGCATTGGTTGTGCGATAGCGCAAATTAAAGTTAGGTGCACAGATCATTGGATATCACTTGAGCGGTGTAAATTTAAGGTGCTCGTCATGAGACTCAAGGTCTCGGGTTCGATTCCCAGTTGGGTTTCTGATACGTACCACTGAACGATTTTATACTAGAGAGAAGTGACTGTCTGATGCTTTTTGGTTTTCAACAGTTATCTAACTGATATCAGTTCATTATGTAAACTATATTGTGCTTGAATTAATTATTTGATTATTCTTTGATTAGTTGATCGACATTAAGTAGGGAGAATCATAGTGTGTGGAAGTTGCTAAATGAATTATATTAAACGGATCTATTGGTAATTAACACTACAATACAAGAAACAGTTCAGCTTATGATTGCATCACAAACGGTATATGGTATATCAGTGACATAAATGATGAGAGTGAAGTATGTTCAGACAGGCTTTAGAAAGTAACCAACGAAGTGACTTTTCATTAAATGTAAGTCACATACACCGATATTATTCCATTTCTCAATTTTAAATGTCGTCTCTATCAGTTCGGGACTATTTCAGGAAGTTTGATTTCTAATCGGTCAATAATTTCTTATATCCATAGTACGTCAGTGATGAAAAGTCTATTTAAGCTACTATTAAGAAATATGTACGTACGAATTTCTCGTACTCACAAGACAGTTCAACAAATAAGCTGATTACACATAGGATTAGGGCGCTGATCACAGTCTTTGTATCTCAATGGAGATCAACTAGTTGACTCTCATTGAAAATTCCAAAGTAGTTGCCACTACATACTTTTCAATTAATATTATACTTAAATTATCTAAATAACTAGTCTACGCTTAGTACTATGGGAAAATTTTCGAAATATATGTAGAAAAAGTCATAAATTTTAGGTTTTATAATCTGCTAATCAATACAACTCGTTAATTTATTAATTAGTTAGCTCCGATTTTTTTTCTTAATTTTCAAGTCAATTCATCTTAGTCAATTTGAAAGGAAACCAATCAACTAGTTATTGTGATATATCATATTACTTTGTATTTAAAAATCTAAAATCAAGCATGAATTACTCTTTTAGTGATTCAGTCAATAGTTCTTGTGATGTGGTAGTAGTAGTAGTAGTAGTAGTAGTAGGAGGAGGAGGAGGAGGAGGAGGAGGAAGAGGAGGAGTAGCAGTGGGAAGAGGGAATAATCAAAGAAAGTGAAGAACAGCTAAAATCTTTGCAGAAGAATAAAATCTGAAAAGTATAATGTGTCTTCTATGTTTATTCACTTGTGTGTTTCTATCTACATACATGATTGTACGCATAAACCAACCTATAAATGGATAGAATGACATGTCTACAAGGTAATGAATGATGAATTGGTCATTTGGCATGTGAGCTTCAAAGGATAAACCTATTTTTAAATTATCCTGATATTGAAACCTAAGATGATGAAAATGATTAAAACGACGATGATATTGCGCAGCAACTGACTTATTTAATTAGCCTAGTAACAGCTTGTAAAATTTGAACATAAAAATATGTATGTATAATATCACGGGGTTTAACCGAATTCTCTCTAGAAATTTGACAGATTCGGATGACTGTTTTCAATTGCTTTTACTCTTCATAATATATACATATATGGAAACACTTTCGCAAATACATACACCTACAGACACAACTAGACACAAGGTAAAGAAGAATTGGGGAGAAAAATTGAGTGAAAAAATCACCACCACCATCATCACAACATCAGACGACAACTGGGAAGCTTTTCAAGCAATGTCATTCTGTGTGGTTTGATGAAACACATAAGTTATTGAGATAGTTTGAAATTAAGGAAATTCAAAAGAAACGAAACAGCAAATAAATCCTGGAAATAGTGAGGACAGAAGAGAAAGAAAAAAGAGAAATTGAGAATTAACAGAAGGTGGAGGTTGCTATTTTAAAATTTGAAAATAATTGAGAATTTAGGAAAAAATTTTTTTCGTTTGCTAACGTTTCACTGTGTTTATTTTTTTAATACATGAAATTATCTACAAAATTTCAGCTGGTTTATTTCTCTTCATTTAAAGTCTATTTATAATTTGTACATAGTATGTTTAGTAATAAATGAATTGGAGAAGAAGAAATGACACATTGAAAATACCAAATCAATTCGTTAGTATATACATGTATATCAAAAGGTCATGTAAGAGAAATGAAAATTAAAGATGTATTGAATGTCTTGTTATTTGTCACTAGGTGGTTTTCAGTAGCCGTTATTATTCATGAAAAGAAGCAGGATATAAGATGACGTACTGCTCATGAAATTACGAATTATCATAGTTTTAATCACAAACTGACCTTAGTTAGATCAACCATGACAACTAGGAAGTACTGGATAGCTGTTTGATCATAGTATCCGACTCTTCAGGAATGCGCATCTACAGCTCAATCACAGAAAATCGAACTAAGTACCATCGGTTTTATGCGTAAGCGCTCAACCTATAGACTGGTGAGACAGTATCCAATGGTTAATATGTTCAATTTCAATTAATACTGAGTGACAATCCTCCATTGCCTGCTGTAGATAACTGTCTTACATCCGATATGGTTGAGCCCCACTTCTTACTAGAACTCCAGAAATCGCATCTTGGAGCTGGTCACTAGTGA